GGCCTTAAATTAAAAGGCAATTTTTTGGTAAACAAAAATGTGTAATGCATTCTCTATTAATTGTATGAAAAGAATATTGTAATGACTATTGCATTAGGTTTGTTTAGTTGTTTGGTTGCTTAAAGCACCATTAACCTAATATTTATATTTCCAAAAAGTATGTTGAAATTTGTATAGCTTGTAATTAGGGCTGCACGATAAATCGCATGCGATATTTAACGCGCATCTTATCAGTAAAGCCGGTTCTGTAATCAGCGGTAAATCTCCATCACGTGCGTTCTTTCACATTGAGCAGCATTAACAGAGGCCTTAGAAATTTGCGCATCAAATAGGGTAGGCTTTAAGAACCAGACAGAAAGTCTTTTGCGACAAGATATACAAGGATCTTAGATATTCAAGAGTCGCTTGTTGTCTTGGATGGCCCAGAATTTGAAGGTGATGTCGAGAAGGAGTGCATGTTACTGAAACTACAAAAAAAAAAGATAACTTGTGGTACTTGAGGTCCAGGACTTTCTCGGAGTCTGCTGTTATCTCCTCAGGCTGCCCGAACAGGATCATGGGTCTGATTAACACTATGACAGTTAGTCTTTACAGCTCAGGCCTGGATTTCGACAGAGTGTCAGAGCAAATTAAAACGCCATCGTCCCAGCACAAAAACACCAGAGCAGGCACTGCCCTCGAGGGATGAAAACTATATCATAAAGACAAAAGCTTACCATGTCTGCGCTGAATGAATTGTGGCTGCTGTTAGTTTTGTATTTCTGATGGATCAGTCTGGATCCATTATGATATAAAACAAAGCCCTGGGCAAAAGTAATTTGGAATACAGCCAGCTTACACTATATATAATCATACAACAAAAGGTTTTACCATGAAAGCAATGAAGTTAACTCTTCCCAGTGCTTCTCTTTTGATGCATACTCATTCTGTGCCAGGCTACATCCCAACAAGCCCTCAATGTTTTTGCCCCTCAATGAATAACCCCCATTTAAATACCCTGACTCATAAATTGTGTCTGGGTGCTTTTGTTTGATGTTTCTGTTGTTCTCGTCTAGAGTCGGGAGAGCGATGTTGGCCTTTATCACCAAACCAGAGCTTTTAGAAAGAGTTCTTCAGGACCACTTCTGCACAGACGCAAACGAAAGATGTTTAAAAAGAACTTAATAACGACATACTACATAAACGTGGCACATCACAGTCTTGGCTTACAAAACTAGCTTTGATTTAATGGTCAGAAGTTATTTACAGTAATATTAAGAATGTTTCCTAAGCAATGCATCAAATTAGCTTATTAGAATGATTTCTGAAGAATCATGTGACACTGAAGACTGAAGTAATGATGCTGAAAATTCAGCTTTGCATCACAGGAATAAATTACATTTTAATACATTTTCAAATAGAAAACAGTTATTTGGAATTGTAATAATATTTTACAATTTTAAAACTTGTAAATTGATTTAATAGCTTTGATTTAATGGTCAGAAGTTATTTTAGAAAGAATGAAATTCATTACAATGAAATTTAAGACATTATAGTTGTTACTTAAATAATTGGGAAAAAAAATGCAATACAACAAGCGCAATGCAAATTAAAAAAAATATATAATGTATTTTCCCTTAAAGGGATACAAGAAGACATTGTATTTTGTTGTATAAGACAAGTTATTACAATACAAAATAAGTACAAAAAAGTTTTTTAAATATTTCTGCTTAATTTTTTTTTTTAATAATTATGTAATTATTTATATGCCTATGTACTATATATTATACACATTTAATTTAATATATTATAGACTTTTAATTATAAACAAGCCTGAGGTACACATGGACTCTTATTTTGTAATGTCTGTGCTCTACTATTGTCAGCTGCTCATTCAAAAGGTGAGGGAGACATAATATGCACTCTTAAACCAACTACAACATATTATAATATAAACGCCATAAAGTAAACACTGTCATAATTCTTCAGCAGTAGTTGTTGCAAGCGATCATTTGCATAAATGCTTGGTATTCATTGATTGCGAAAATTCTCTGAAAGTCTGAGCCTGAACAACAAGTAAGAACACGTGCTCTATTTGCAGTTCTATTTTATTTTATGAAATTATAGCCTTTTGAAGTTTAATAATCACATAATAATTACATTAAGCTGTAATGCGATTCCTGTTTTTTCATACACAAATATAAAACTTCTTAAAATGATAATTAAGATGTTTGTTATATCAAGATATTTAAGACATTTTATGACCTTGAATTTCATAACTGAATTTTCTAAGGACTATCAGGACTTTTTTATTCGCACATGCTCATAAATATGTTTACAGTTTGTGCACATCTGTTTTTGTCGTGAATGCAAGTGAAGCGCTCGCGCTGTCAAGCCTTTAAAATGCTTAGTTGCTTAAAAATAGAACAAGCTAATAGGAAAACAGGATTTTACCTTATTGAAATACCAAACATGCTTTCATTGACAGCAGCACTCTTTGAGTTTGATCTCTCTCTCGTTTTTCTACTTTCTTACTCCACAGTGAAAACGTCAACACTTACTTCCTCCACATCGCTGAAGATGACGGGGAGGTGGACACAGATTTCCCTCCGCTGGACTCCAACGAGCCCATACACAAGTTTGGCTTCAGCACGCTGGCTCTGGTCGAGAAGTATTCATCTCCTGGACTGGGGCCCAAACAGTCACTCTTTGTTCGAATGTAAGAATGCCTCTTAACTCAGATTTTATCACTACCAATTACTACTACTCTTTCACTGTGAAGAATGAATACATTTAGGGTCAAAATCAAAAGGAAATCAAAATTTCTAAGACTTGCTGTCATAATCCGCTTTATACATAATTCAAATAAAATGGGTTGGTAACACTTTTTTTTCTGTTGTTGACAAACAATACATATATGCCATGTTCCAAAGCTTGGGGTCAGTAATTTTTTTTTTTAATTAATATACAGTATAGACATTTATATTTTTACAAAAGATTTCAATTTCAAAATAAATGCTTTTTTTTTTTTTTTTTACTTTCTATTCATCAAATGTTACTATATTTTGCAGCCTTGGTTAGCAGAAGACACTTCTTTCAGAAACATTAAAAATCTTACTGACCCCTAACATTTGAATGGTAGTGTATGTAGTTGCATTAATACACAATTCCAAAGAGTAAAACAACTTATTTTATTCTTCACCTGTATCTAGAAGTTTGCCTAGTTAGTGCACAGCCTCTGATAAGGTTCTTATGAGAATTAGCCCTTAAACTAATGAGGTTTAAATGTCTGGCCATTCACATAAGTCTTAAGCACTCAGTCCTTAAGTTTGTTGGAGTTTTTCCCCACAGGCCTCTCCATGAAGCTCTTATCTTTGTTTTGTGAGCTCTCAATTCGATTGTTGGTCTTCTGTGCATTTGGGCCGATGTCTAATCAGCTGTTTGGTTAATGTGGCTGACAAAGCATTAGGAGGCCTCTATTAATTGGAAGTTGCTCATTGGATTTGAGTGGCATCCTGCCAGATTGTCCTGCCTTTAATAGGGAACCTTAGTTTGGGCTGTAATACTGAATTTAACATTGTGCAATGAAGTTCAGTTTGTTTGTGTACGTCACAGATGTTTTTATGTGATGTTTTCTTGTACTCGCTCAGGTCGTGTGACATTTGCACCGATTAACAAATAATCATGGACGTTTTATTAGGAAATAAAGAGATGTTTTTCAGATTAGAGAACATTTTTTTTTTCACGGTTGGGTGAACTATTCCTTTATCATTTTGTCAACTGTGAAAGCAACACATTACAGTACCGTATTTTACTGATAAAAATTAAGACTTGCATTCAGCAAGGATGCATTAATTTGATCAAAATTAACAAAAGATTTCTATTTCAAATAAATGTTGTTCTTTTGAAGTTTCTATTCTGAAAATATATATTATGGTTTCCAAAAAAACCCCCCGTTTTTAACAGTAATATTAATAATGTTTCCTAAGCAATGCATCACATTAGCATATTAGAATGATTTCTGAAGGATCATGTGACACCAAAGACTGGAGTAATTTTCAAATAAATGTTGTTCTTTTGAAGTTTCTATTCTGAAAATATATATTATGGTTTCCAAAAAAACCCCTGTTTTTAACAGTAATATTAATAATGTTTCCTAAGCAATGCATCACATTAGCATATTAGAATGATTTCTGAAGGATCATGTGACACTGAAGACTGGAGTAATGATGCTGAAAATTCAGCTTTGCATCACAGGAATAAATTACAATTTAATAGATTTTTAAATAGAAAACAGTTATTTTGAATTGTAATAATATTTTACAATTTTACTGTATTTTAATCTGTATCTTAATGATTTTTTTCAATTTTGTATTTATTTTTTTGTTTTAATTTTAGAATTTTATTTTTAAATTTCAGTTTTAGTATTAGTAATTTTAGTACTTCAGCTTTAACTTAACCATTTTGTTTAATTTCAGCAATCATTTCTTTTGTGTTAATTAACGTAAATGTTTCTTAATATTTTTTTTAGTTAACAACACTGTAGTATATAAATATATATTTATGGCATTAAATAATATTTGGTAATTTGATCATGTAATTGCAGCCTTGATGAGCTGAAAAGACTTCTTTCAGAAACAAAAAAATCTTACAGACCCCAAACTTTTCAACGGAAGTATAACTTCATTATAAGTACATGGCATAAACCAATTGAGTTTTTTTGAAAAGTCGTATTTGTGGCCCAGCTGCTTTGCACTTTTCGTTGCTTTTCACATGTCTTTGTCTGTAGTTATTTGTTCTTTATTCATCAGCTTTCAGCCGTGGGCTGGTGTTCAGAGCTCTCTGGGTCAGCTGCATGCTCCCTTCATGATGTGGCACTGCAGGACCCTGGGCGAGAACTGAGCCAGCGCTCGGCCCTCAGTGAGCCATCGGGGCCGGCGACCTCTTCTGCCGGATCCCCGGCCTGACGTGAAGCCTGTCAGAAGCCCTGGCCCGAGGCAGACGGGTCAGGACTGCTAAATGGAAGTGGACAAGCAAGTCCTCTGTCCAGAAAGTGTGCGCTCTCCGGTCTCTGGCCTCGGGTTGTTGTTCTGTTGATAAAGTCCATCGCAGTGATGCGTCCATGTGCTCAAAGTTTGACTCGTGGACTGGCCCTCGGCCTTGTTGTGTTTAGGATGCGCTCTGTTAAAGCAAGCCACCAACTTCTGAGTACTATACAGTCTATCTGTGTGCAAGCTTTTCTTCTGACACAATTGTATCCACTTACTGCTTGCGCTGGTACTGTTCTTCAAGAGTCATTCTCTTGAATCTCAAACTACATTTGCAAAAAAATAAATATATTGGTTTAATTTGTATACTTTAGTGGTGCAAATCTGTTTTGAATCAACTGAATCAGTCTGAAGCAATCACGAGTCATGAATCTGTCATTGGTCTGTATCATGGAGTGAATCAGTCAGATGACTCATTTCCTCGCTTGCTGGACCACAAGTTATGTCTCTTAAAGAGTGGAGAACTGTAAATATTAGGATCATGTGTCTGGAGTAGTAGCTGCTGAAAATTCAACTTTGCATCACAGGAACAAATTATACTTTAAAATATATTCAAATGGAAAACAGTTATTTTAAATTGTAATGATATTTCACAATTTTACTGTTTCAGTTTCCTCAGGTTTGTCTGTGAAAAACATTCATGAATGCTGAGAGTCTGAAGACGTGATTTCAGTGTTGATCCTCTGTTAGACAGGAAGTTTGCATCTAATGCAAACGTTAAAGATGTATTCAATAGTGGTCGACTGATATATCGCCAAGGCGATATTTGGCATTTTTTAAATATCGGCATCGGCCGATAAGTTTTCCTGTTTGGCCGATGCGTTCGAGGCAAAACTTTTATTTTGACGGCGCGATATACGTTTATTTTGACGGCGCGCCTGAGCACACAGTGCTCACATTCTCCCTCTTGTTCGCTGTTGTCGTTAACAGTTCTGTCTAAATACGGATGGAAGTCTGTCTAATAATCAGATTAAATGAAGGAATTAATGTATACAAAAAGGCTTATAACGATTGCTTTTATATTATTAGTAAAAGAAAGGCAAACATTATAATACTTTCTTGTTTGCCGTCAGCATTCAGCAAATATGCATTTATATCATTTAAACAAATCTTTGAATGTCTAATAAACATCTAATTTCAAAAACCTTGCAAGTTTACTTCCTTTTTAATTATATTTTTATTAAATATTTATTTATTTGTGGAAAAAATACTTTGTCATCTAAAGTATAATTATGTTTATTTAATAAATTTATTTTTAAATCAATTTTGAAATGATTTCAAATTTCTTACAATTACAATTATATTGGCTTTATATCGGCCATCGGCCACCCTGCTTCCCAAGATATCAGCATCGGCTGTCAAAAAACCAATATCGGTCGACAACTAGTATTCAATATGACTGATGATTTGCCTTCCTCACCCACAGAAACGCCGCTCATGGTTTCTCCCTGATCCCAGTGGACAGCCAGAAAGTCACCATGAAAGATATTCTGCAGAAGGCCCTCAAAAAGCGGAAGGGCTCCCAGAAAGGATCAGGTGAGACATCTCAACGATTCATGTTTTACTCGCCCTCAAAGCATCCTAGGTGTATATGACTTTCTTCTTTCAGACAAATCCAATCGGAGTTATATTGAAAATGGTCCTGGCCCCTCCAATCCTTACAATGGGGTAAGCGGGTGCTTTTTGTCAACAGTCCAGAAGACGTGAAATAAAGTGCGCGCATACGTAATAAAATGTGCCTCACACGGCTCCGGGGGGTGAATAAAGGCCTCCTGTAGCAAATCCATGCGTTTTTGTAAGATAAATATCCATATTTCAAACGTAATAAACACTTTTTTCTCACTTCCGCTGACTGTGGTGACCCGCTTACCCCATTGTAAGGATTGGAGGGGCCAGGACAATTTTTAATATAACTCTGATTGGATTCGTCTGAAAGAAGAAAGTCATATACACCTAGGATGCTTTGAGGGTGAGTAAAACACAGGCTAATTTTCATTTTTAGGTGAACTAACCCTTTAATCCTGTGATGTTGGATCTTATCTTATATATCTTGGTAAATAAGATCTTATATATCTTGGTAAATAATGGTATTTATATACTATTATACTAATATATGGTAATATTTTGTATTCGTTTTTTTTTTTTAGTTTTCATTTTTATTCTCGTTTATGTTTTGGTAATTTTACATTTTTGTGTGTGTGTGAGTTTGTCATTTCTATTCATTTTTAATATTTCTAATAAGCTTTAATTTATTTTTATTTCAGTTTGTCATTTTAATACTTCAACTTATTTAAATTAGTAAGCAACATTAAAGTGCTATTTAAATTTCATTTTATTTTATATTTTTATATTTTTTAGTAGTTATGTTTTTATATTTATTATATAAAAATATACTTATTTTTATATAATTTATGTAATATATATTTTATTTTAAATCATATTTTTAATAGCTATATCTAATAGCTATGTGGACCACAAAATCAGTCATAAGGGTCAGTTTTTTAAAATTGAGATTTATACATCATCTGAGAGCTGAATAAACAAGCTTTCCATTGACGTATTGTTTGTTAGGATAGGACAATATTTGGCTGAGATACAACTATTTGAAAATCTGGAATCTGAGGGTGCAAAAAAATCTAAATATTGAGAAAATCACCTTTAAAGTTGTCCAAATAAAGTTCTTAGCAAGTTCAAATTAAGTTCTTAGCAATGCATATTACTAATCAAAAATTAAGTTTTAATATATTTATAGTAGGAAATTTACAAAGTATCTTCATGGAACATGATCTTTACTTAATATCCTAATGATTTTTGGCATAAAAGAAAAATCGATCATTTTGACCCATACAATGTATTGTTGGCTATTGCTACAAATATACCTGTGCTACTTATGACTGGTTTTGTGGTCACATATATTTAATATCTAAAATATATAATGTTTTCTATATAATTAACATAACATACTTTTTTATATTATATACATTATATCTTTTAAGACTTTTAGTTAACAGTAACAACACTGATGCTTTTGCATACATATTGGCATGATAAACAAAATCTAAACAAACAAAAAAAAGGACTGTTTTTGGTGCAAGAAACTTTGAATAATATTATAAGTGCCCTTACTGGGGGGTAAAAAATGCTGGAAGAAGTGTAGCAAAAGGTGCCTTTGAATTGCCGGTCGAACTGGTATTTGTGTATGCAGTTTTAATCTTAGAAAGTAAGTGAAGCCATCTGCTGCGATTTGGCCCGATAACCACAGCAATGTGCCGTCCTAATTTGTCATCGCTGAATGGGGCGGAATCTGATAAGGCCAGAGACTTTAATACAAAAAGTCACAGGTAACGGATCGCCCCTTTGACGGCCATGATGAGTCAGGGCAGCGCGAGATAAGAAGGGTGAGGAGAAGAGATTGAGCCGCAGACTGACTCGGAGATGGAGAAGTGCACATAAAGAATGGAAAGCAATGGTGCGGGAACAAAAGTATATTAGAGAGAAAATGGATGAAACGCAGTGAAAATGATGGCGCGTGGAGATCCACTGGAGCCTCATCTCTCCTGAATTTACCACGCACTGAGGTCACAGCCTGCAGCCAGAGAAGATCACTTCAGTAAGGCTAGCGCTGTCCGTTTAAATAGGCTGTAGTCTTCGCTTCTGTCTTATGTGTATCCACACCGCCTCATCAGTATGGATCACATACTCCTTCATCAACACCTAACTGACTGTCTATAGCAGCGGTTCTCAGCCTTTGTGAATCCAAGACAGGGGGTCTCAGTTTTCCGAGATTTAAAAAAATGTATATTTTAAAAATATTTTTATGAATGATCTAGGGCTGCAACTAACGATTATTTTGGTAATCGATTAATCGGGCGATTAGTTTTTCGATTAATCGGATAAAAACTTACCTTTTTTTTAATTGGATGTTTTGCTTATTATAACTATATAAAACCCTAAATCAGGGTATTTATGTCTATAAGTGTACTTTAAAAAATGCAAAAGACACATATTGAGTTTAACTATCTTTAATTTTGACATATTAAACCTTAAATAAAACACAAAAGTTTGCCCAGCTTTTGAATTTGAACAGTAAAACTGCTTTAAATATCTAAAATATAAATAAACAAAAGCAAAACAAGTACCGAGTTGTATTCATAAAATTCACATTATGAAATTAGGACATAAACATGCTGGCAATAAGATATTAGCAGCAGAATTTGTTAGAATATCAAAATTATAAATAATAAACAATGAATGTTACTGTAGAATAAGGTAGAATGCAGAAGAACAGGAAAACTGTCACTTTTCAAAGTTGTTCATATGAACATGTTTCTTATTCACTTTTCCAA